TCTATCTTTGAACACTAGGGTGCTTCAAGGGAAGATACCGCCTTAGCAAACACCTTAAAAAAATTTGTGGATTTGCAGCAACAAAGAACAAAACCAATTCTCAAAGAAAGCCCCTCCTTTTTTCTTCTCCAAATTGAGCAACTTGCAGAACTCAAGTGCAAGACAGGAACTGAGTTAGTGTGCAGACGCCATGATCTCCCGCCCCTCTGACACCTTCTCTGGAATGTTCCGAAGCAGCAAATGGCATCACTACTTTTAAGCTTCAAAATTAGAAACTGAAGCCACTTCTGTGCAACAACGGAGTTTTACTCCTCGGTCACGATAAAGGTATCCAAATTTTATCTAGTATGTTCCCAAGAAGGCAAATCTGTTTCAAACTCATTTTCTAGTTTTAAAATTTTAGGTAACTTTTAGTTTTAGCAAATTACGTATCTGGATAACTTCCGCGGCACCACGATGTCTGCAGATGCAAAACGCCCCGGTACCCCGCACGCCGGCCCTGCCTGCGCCGGACGCCGAATTATGAAAAGCAATTTATCTCTGGACACGAATACACCGTGCCTCATCGTCACATCGCGGAGAAACGCGACCCTGCAGGGGCTGGGCGCTGGGCTGGGGCCCGGCGCGGTGGAGGCCGGCCGAGGTCGCCCGCTGGCCCGGTCACCGCCGCCCCACGTGCCAGCGGCGGCGCGCAGGGCACGCGGAGGCCCCGGCGGTCGCCGGTGGGGGAGGGGACCCGCGGCCCCTTCCTCCATTTTAGGAGGGGCCGGCGCCCACAGGCCGCGCGGCGAGGCCCGCGTCTGTCCCGCAACCCCGCCACCCCCGCCGCCCCCAGGGGCCCGCGTGGGCCGCGCCCGGCTCTCCAAGTACCGTTACCTGGCTTCGCCTCCGAAGTCGCAGGCACTGCCTGGCGCCCCCGGGAGAGCCCGGCCCGAGCCCCCCGCCCAGCCTCCACGCCACGCGGCCCCCTCGGGGTCTGCGGGGCCGCCGACCCCCGCGCCACGGCCGGCGCCAGGAAGCCCAGTCCGCGCGGGCTCTGAAACCCCCGCAGGCCTGCCCCGGAACCCTGACCTGGCCGCCGGACCTTGTGGCTCAGGGAAGACGCAGAGGGTGCTGCAGACACCGACGAGAGCGTCCGGAGAGTGAGACCTGCGCGCCCCGAGTGCCCCGACCCAGTCTCCTCGCGGCCCGCCCCGACTTCCTGCCCAGCCCCGCGGGCCCGCCCACTTCCCGCCTCCCGGGCCCGCCCCCTCCGCGCCGCCTCGCCGTTGGCCGGGCGCGCCGTCACTCGGGCCCTCGCCTCCCGGGGAGGGGTGGGGCTGCTGCCGCAGCCACCGCGGCGGCGGAGGGGGTGACCGCCTGGGGGCGGGGGGTGGCGGGCCCGGGGGACCCCGACTGCCCATCGGCAGTGTCAGGGTGCGGGCGAGGCCCCTTCTGGGGACACTAGCCGCGAGCGGCCTGCGAAGCCGCCGGCCTGCGGCGGGGCGGGGACGGCGCGGCGGGCATGAGGGCTCGGGCCTCCGTCACGTACTGCGAGTCCCGCACGCACTCAGCGTCCCTCCGGCGCCGCACGTCCGGCCCACGTCCTCGGTGACGACCTCGGCTCCCCGCCCCGCCGCCAGGGCCCGGGAGACCCCGTCGGCGACGAGACGTTGGGTGCCCGCACGCCCGGGCCCTGCCGCCCGGGCCAGGCCGCCGCGTGCGCGCGCCCGCGCCGGACTCCCGCGTGCGTCCGGCCAAGGTGACCCTGGCCCCTTTGTCCTCGCTGCGGCGGGCGCGCGGGAGCCCGGGGCCGAGAGGAGTTGCCGGCTGCGTGCCGGAAGCGTCGCCGCGCGCTTCATCCCGCAGCCGCGTCCGTGCGCTTTGTGGACAAGAGTCCCTGTCCCTTCCTCTCCCCCTGCCCGGCCCCGGGAGGCCGGCTCGAAGCCCCCTGGCTTCGTTGCTCAGGTCGCCTCGGATAATTTTCCACGATGATCTGACAGCTGAACTACAGGCAGGGGTGGGTGCATTGATTTTTCCTTTCTGCTCGAGGAAGAACCCACAGCGATTAAAAAAAAAATCATGCACACCGCCTCCCAGGGAGGCCTGAGTTTTGGCTTTTCCTGCCCCTGAGGCTGGCAGCCGAAGCCACGACCCAGGGCTCCGTATTCTGCACAGGCTCAAACGTTCCGAAGTTTAATTACCATTTTTTTCCTGGTCAGCTGTAAAAACTGTTTTTCTGCCTCATCCCCTAGTTGTGTGTTTAATCGCCAGGGTTACTGGCATGGGTCCTGCGGCCCTGGGTGATGGATCTTCTGAGTCCACGGCGTTTGCTTTACGTGGACAGGAACAAAAGCAAGGAGGCCAGGGAGGGGGTGACTTTACCGTATTTTGCTAGGGAATCACGTGAATTTTGTGAGTTGGGTTTGAGATTTCCCCAGCACGACACGGACATTTTTGGCTGTTTGAAAACAGCATCCCAGACCCATGACTCAGCAGCAGGATGAACGGGCAGGCTCGGCCAGGCTTCAGAACTGGAAGAAATCAGACCCCGAGAGCGATTCTGAGGTGTGGCCCTGAACAGGCTCCAAACAATCTTTACATTAAAATGGTTAGAGAGAGATAAAGACACAGCCAGAACCAGTGAACCCAGCAGGAAATCAAAGGCAGAGGTTGATCTCAGCAACCCCCGCAGCGGCGGGGGCCAGCACTTCACCTCGAGTCGTAGCTCAAAATATTAATGATTGGTAGAAACGCTCTCAGATGTCTTCCAAAACTCGCAGGCTGCCACGTTCCCAGATACCCCTCCTGTCTCCCTGGCCACTGCGGCTTTGTTAGCGGGCGGGGGATTCTACGTAGTTGGAGGCGGTTAGCGTGGGGAGCAACTTTGCAGCCCCAGCAGGTGGAAGGCACTCGCCTTGCTGGTGGGTAGGGAGGAGGAACGAGAATACCCCAGCTTGAAGCTCTGCGGGCAGCCATGACTGCCTGGATTACCAATTCCAGTAAAACCGCTGGTCAGCTGAGAAAGGGATGTGCACTCTGGGAAGTTGTCTCCAGCCAGGAAACCAGTGTGGGAGGAGGGGCCTGGGAGGGAAGATCCCAGGTGAGTGTAGAAGACCCTTGGGGGTTCAGGTGGACGGGCCCTGTTGCTACAGAGCATGAGGTTTCTGTGTCGATCACTAAGCCTTTTGTCTGCACCAGAGACTATACAAAGCGTTTAAGCATGTCCGCCTACCCACCTCCAGCTTAAGAGGTGCTGTTAACGTCCCCTGAGTTCCTCCCTGGCCCAAGCTAACTCCTGCTCCAAATTCTGGGTTTGTTGTTCCCTTACTGTGTAGCTTTTTTGAACGTTATGTATTTATGCATATATACACGTGGCATCCTACTGTTGTTAACCTTTTGCTGCAAATTTTTTCTCTGCTTGATGTTTGTGAGATCCCATGTATGGCTGTAGGTGGAGTGTTTGCAGTGCTGTTTGTGTGAATAGCCCATGTTCAGTCTCTTCTTTGTTCCTTTTTTTTTTTTTTTTAAAGAATTACTTATTGGGGCCGGTGCCATGGTGCACTAGGTTAATCCTCCGCCTGCGGCACTCACATCCCATATGGACACCAGATTCTAGTCCCGGTTGCTCCTCTTCCAGGCCAGCTCTCTGCTGTGGCCCGGGAGTGCAGTGGAGGATGGCCCAGGTGCTTGGGTCCTGCACCCGCATGGGAGACCAGGAGGAAGCACCTGGCTACTAGCTTCAGATCGGCGTAGTTCCTGCTGATTTGGGGAGTGAACCAACGGAAGGAAGACCTTTCTCTCTGTCTCTCTCTCTCTTACTGTCTGTAAACTCTACCTGTCAAATTTTTTAAAAAAGAATTATTTATTTATTTGAAAGTCAGAATTAGAGAGATAAGAAGAGAGAGAGAGAGAGAGAGAGAAACCTTCCTCCATCTGCTGATTCATTCCCCAAATAGCTGTAACAGCCAGGGCTGGGCAAGGCCGAAGCCAGGAGCTAGGAGCTTCCTCCAGGTCTCCAGACCACATGGATGCAGGGACCCAATCCTCCAGTGCTTTCCCGGGTGCACCAGCAGGGAGCTGGATCGCAAGTGGAGCAGCTGGGACAGGAACTGGCTCCCATAGGAGACACAAGCATGGCAGGCGGATTTACTCTGCCACAGAGCCAGCCCTTCCTCTCTGCTTGCTTATGACTGCATCAAGGTTGGTGTTTGGTCCCGCAGTTATGGCACTGCTTGGGACACCTGCATCCTCTACCCTGTGTTTAAGTCCTCGCTCCACGCCCCATTCCAGCTTCCTGCTAATGTGCACCCTGGGAGGCAGCCGGAGGTGGCTCAAGCAGTTTGGGTCCCTGCCTTCCCTGTGGGAGACCCAGACTGAGTGCCCAGCTTTTAGCCTTTGGTCTGGCCCAGCCCTGGCCTTTGCAAACATTTGGGGAGTGAACCAGGTCATGGGAGCTCGCTCTCTCTCTCTCTCTCTCTCTCTCTGCCTCTCAAATAAACTGAATACCAGTAGTGCTTCTGTGAACTTTGTTGTAAATGTCTCCCAAGCATAGGAGCAAGCGTTTCTCTAGGGCATGCAGTGGACGTGGAGTGGCTGAGCCATGGGGAGTTTGTTCCTCTGTGCACTTCCACACGCAGTGAATGAGTTCTTTTTTTTTTTTTTTTTTTTTTTTGACAGGCAGAGTGGACAGTGAGAGAGAGACAGAGAGAAAGGTCTTCCTTTGCCGTTGGTTCACCCTCCAATGGCCGCCGCGCTGATCCGATGGCAGGAGCCAGGAGCCAGGTGCTTTTCCTGGTCTCCCATGGGGTGCAGGGCCCAAGCACCTGGGCCATCCTCCACTGCACTCCCTGGCCACAGCAGAGGGCTGGCCTGGAAGAGGGGCAACCGGGAAAGAATCCGGCGCCCCAACCGGGACTAGAACCCGGTGTGCCAGCGCCGCAAGGTGGAGGATTAGCCTAGTGAGCCGCGGCGCTGGCCGAGTTCTGACACAGTTTGGAAAAACAAAATGCAGCTCTTGCTTTGCAATTTTTTCTAGAACTCAAATCCCCTTTGGGACTGGCATTGTGGTGCTGTGGGTTAAGCTGCAGTCCAGTGAGAGGAACTGCAAGGTGTCCGGCGGATCCCAAAGCTATCAGGAACAACTAAAGGAAACATGACCCAGGGAAGACTCCTGCCTGTCTCTGTGAAGAGAAGAGATTGGATGATCTGTATATAAGTTCCAGATGGATGGGGCTGGTGCTGTGGTGTAGCGGGTAAAGCCACCATCTGTGACACTGGCATGCCAGTGTCACTCGAACTGGCTGGTTCGAGTCCTGGCTGCTCCACTTCCAATCCAGCTCCCTGCTGATGTGCCTGAGAAAGCAGCAGCAGATGACCCAAGTCCTTGGGCCCCTGCACCCACGTGGGGGATCCGGAAGAAGCTCCTGGCTTCTGGCTTCAGATTGGCCCAGCTCAGGCTGTTGTGGCCGTTTGGGGAGTGAACCAACTGATGGAAGGTATCTCTCTCTCTCCTTCTCTCTCTCTCTCTCTCTCTAACTCTACCTTTCAAATCAATGTTAAAAAAAAAAAAAAAAAAGTTCTGGATGGAAAGCCAGGAGCCAGTTTCTTCCTTCCAAAGGGAGCGGCCCCTTGTGATTCACTCCCCGAGGGTGGGGTTCCCACCAGGGCTTCCGGCGGGCTGCAGATCCTGGGCACATCCCCTGGGCACATCCCCCTCGCCCTATCATGTATGGATAACCGAGCTGAGCGCTTCCTCTCTGCCAGGCGCCACACTGCTTACCATGCAGGTGTGACTCATTGAATGCCATCCACAAGTCCACAAATCTGCGTGTTTGGTCAGTTACACTTTTCAAGTACCAAAGTCCTGGGCGGCCTGGCTCCCCCCCCCAGCCCCAGTCTTGCACCATCAGCTCCTCCACCACGGAGCTCACTTAGTCTTTGGATTTGCATAGAATGACACGGCCTTAACTTGCACATCGACACCATGACGGTGACCCTACGTGGAATTTAACGGTGGTGGCTTCAGGATTTGAGAAGCGTGACTCATTGCCCCCAGAATAAATCTGCAGCTGGAAGGAGAAGCAGCTTGCAAGGCCAGAGAGGCCGTTACATTGTGTCTCGCAACTCCATTCCCTGCTCCAGCGTCTCCCCAGCCCTGCCCCCAGCATGGCATTTTCTGGCATTTCCTGAGCAGAGGGGGACACGCTGGCTCCTCTTCCCCAACTGCTCCAGTTCTCTGGAAGTCGTCCCTGGACCTCATGCTCTGACTAATTTCTGGGGGTTTTGTTGTTTGTTTTGTTTCCAGATGGCTAGGAAAATGCAGGGAGAATGGATCTGAGTGGAGCATTTGTCAGAGCCTCTCCGGGTATTCTGTAGTTAGAAGATGAATGCAGGGGCCGGCACTGTGGCATCGCCAGTTAAGCCACATCCTGCGACGCCAGCATCCGTGTATGGGCCTTGGATCGAGTCCCAGCAGCTCCAGTTCTGATCCAGCTCCCTGCTAATGGCCTGGGAAAGCAGCAGAGGATGGCCCAACTGCATTGTCCTGCTTACTAATGATCGTCAATATTAACACTCCTGTGGGTTCTTGCCACTTATTCGAAGAAGTCTGAAGACTGGCTCAAATAGACCAGACAACACGGTCAGTTTTTAAGCTTTTTATTCAGCAAGAGAAATGTGCAGGAAAGTGAGGGCTTTATTTAGGGAAGAAAGAGAAGTCTAGAAACTAAGTTGGGTCCATATCAGGCAGAGAGCAGGCCTGGAGGGAGCCGTGTGGAGCGAGTGAGTGCTATGAGAAGCCACAGGTAGCTTAGCACAGCAGCAAAGCGAAGGCAGAGAGCAGGCCACAGGCCACAGGCCACAGGCCACAGGCCACGAGCCACGTGGAGCAAGCATGCAGGCAGCAAAGGGGAGAGCGGGTCGGGCCCTGAGCCAGCTGGGGCAATGGGGGGGGGCACTGTATTCCAGGCCTTTTATTTACTCCCAAAGGGGGCGTGGTTACATAATCTGATTGGCAGGTGGGCATACAGGTAGGGTCCGGTAGGAGCCTGAGATGGGGGGGGTGATGGGCGTGGTTTCGCTAAGGCCCCTTTCACACACAAAGGCTGATTTCCAACTTCCTACAAAACAAGATCTCCTTGTGAGACGGAAGCCAGAGGCTGGGGAGGGGTCAGCCTTGCTGTTCTGGAATAGCTCACTCTTCGGGAACCAGATAGGGTCCCGTGAGAACCCTTTAATCCCTTCTGAGGACAACGACCCAATCACCTTGCACAGGGACCTCCCTCTTCACATTGCCACCCTGGGAACTAAGCTTCCAACCCGCGAATCCCCTGGGGACACATCGGACCCCCCCCCAATCCCAGCCACTGCAGGGGTGACTGGGAAAACCATGGATTCTTCTCCCCTTAGGAAGTTTGGATTAAAGATCACCAAAGAGAATGATCCGAGGGTGGAAAGAACAGAGCAGGCCTTAGACAGAAGCCAGAAGCTTGAAAATCCATGAGGTGGCAAACTTTGTGCGGCCGGTTGACTGGTGATGGCTCAGCAGAGCGCTGGCAGAGACCGGGGTGGTGAGGCCTGGTGCGCAGCTGCTCAGTCCCTGCCCTCCCTCCTTCCCTAGGGTCCCTGGGACAGGAATCCCCAGGAATGAGCGTGCTTTGTATTCTGCAGGAACTCAGCAATCTGGCCTTGACCATGGCCTGAAGGCCCAGTCTAATGCAAGAAGTTTGGAAAGCGAAAGGCAGGGTGCACCGTGGGAAAAAAGTGACTTGGTTTTGTCAGTACGTAATTACTTATTGACCCCCTACTATGTGCTCAACACTGGAGACAAGCAAGGGAAAAGCTGAACTAAGCCTCACCGCAGGAATTTACATTCCGATGGGGCAGGAGGAGGAAGGCTGGCAAGCTGTAAAAACTCATACGGCCGGCGCCGCAACTCACTAGGCTAATCCTCCGCCTTGCGGCGCCGGCACACCGGGTTCTAGTCCCGGTCGGGGCGCCGGATTCTGTCCCGGTTGCCCCTCTTCCAGGCCAGCCCTCTGCTGTGGCCAGGGAGTGCAGTGGAGGATGGCCCAAGTGCTTGGGCCCTGCACCCCATGGGAGACCAGGAGAAGCACCTGGCTCCTGCCTTCGGATCAGCGCGGTGCACCGGCCGCAGCGCGCTGACCGCGGCGGCCATTGGAGGGTGAACCAACGGCAAAGGAAGACCTTTCTCTCTGTCTCTCTCTCTCACTGTCCACTCTGCCTGTCAAAACAAAACAAAAAAAAAAAGAAAAAAAAAAGAAAACCTCATATGCTGGGGTTTCAGAGCAGCCTGTGGCACAGAGGGTAAAGCACCACCTGCCTGAGACCCCTGCGTCCCTTAGCAGAGCGCCAGGACAGGCTGCTCTGTTTCCAATCCAGCTCCCGCTAATGCAGTGGAAGAGGGTCCACGTGCCTGGGCCCCTGCCGACCGACCGTGCCAGAACCCCGGATGGAGTTCCCGGCCCCTGGCCTCAGCCTGGCCCTGCCTTCGTGGTTGTGGCCGTCTGGGGAGTGAACCGGCAGGTGGGGGATCTCTGTCTGTGTCTCTCCCTCTCTCTGTCCCTCTGCCTTTCAAATGAATAGATAAATCTTAAAAAAGCAAGAGCAAAACTGAAATGTATTCACTCCTAGTTCTGGGGGCTGGAAGTTTCAATTCAAGACGTTGGCAGCTGGTTCCTTCTGGGTGCTCTGAGGGAGAATCTATCCCACGCCTCCCTCGAGTTCCTGGTGGTGGCTGTCCCTGGCCGCCTGTGACTTGCAGCTGACCCCAGGCTGACTCCACCACCACATGTGTCTCTCCGTGGCTCCGTGGCTCGGTTTTCCATTGCCAGTCATATTGGACTTAAGGCCCAGCCAAATCCCGTGGGACTTGGACTTAACTTGGTTACATGCGCAAAGATCCCGTTTCTAAATACCGTCACCACTGCGGGCTCAAGTGTGTCCCCCACAATGCGTGTGCTGAAACTTGAGCGCCACGGGGGATATTTGGTGCAGCAGTTGACACGACTAGGGATAGGAGTGTCAGCTGCATCCGGTGTGGGCAGTGCCTGGATTGGAGTCCCAGTTCTGCTTCTGACTCCAGCTTCTTGCTGACGGGTGAGAGCGAGAGAGCAGTGCCACCTGCTGGTTCGCTCCCCTAGTGCCTGCAGTCACCCAGCTGTATTAGTCTAGTGTCTGTTACTATAATGAAACACAGGAAGCTGGAAAAACTGTAAAAAAAGAGGTTTACAGGTAGAGCCTCCGCCTGCAGTGTTGGCATCCCATATGGACACTGCTTCAGGTCCCAGCTGTGCCTCTTCTGATCCAGCTCTCTGTCATGGCCTGGGAAAGCAGCAGAAGATGGTCCAAGTGCTTGGGCCCCTGCATTCACATGGGAGACCTGGAAGAAGCTCCTGGCTTCCTCCTGACCCAGCCCCAACTGTTGCATCCATGTGGGGAGTGAGCCAGTGGATGGAAAAGATCTTTTTCTCTCTCTTTCTTTCTCTCTCTCTCTCTCTCTCTCTCCCTCTCTCTCTCTCTCCCTCTCTCTCCCTCTCTCTCTCCATGTATGTCATTCTGCCTTTCAAATATTTTTTTTAAAGTATGGCAGGTGGATTCTCCCCCAAGGGGCCTATCGTGAGGGGGTATGCAGTAGGGGGCACAGATCAGACTCAACTCTGAGTACAAGGACAGCAGACATTCCCATCCACAGAGGAGGTGGGGGCAGTGGACCAAAGCTAGAGACACTGGGGCTCAACTGACTCAGCGGGATTCTTGTTAAAGGCAGGCCAGGGTGATCAGGTAGTGAAGGCGGGGGAGGGGTGACGAGTGGATCAGATATTGAGGGTGATCAGATACCAGCGCCTATATTGACTCAGCAGGATTCCTACTAAAATTGGACTGAGGACGGAGCCCAGGTCCAGGGCAAGGCAGAAAGAGGGCCCAGAGGAGCTCCATGCAGGGTTGGTCAAAACCGAGTCTGGGGCCGGCGCTGTGGCGTAGCAGGTAAAGCCGCCACCTGCGCAAGTAGGAGATTCCACTGCTCCACTTCCGATCCAGCTCTCTGCTAATGCGCCTGGGAGAGCAGTGGAAGATGGTCCACGTCCTTGGGCCCCTGCACCCGTGTGGGAGACCCCGAAGAAGCTCCTGACTCCTGGCTTCAGATCAGGTCATTGCAGCCATTTGGGAAATGAACCAGCAGATGGAATCTCTCTCTCTCTCTCTCTCCCTCTCTCTCCCTCTCCCTCTCCCTCTCCCTCTCCCTCTCCCTCTCGCTCTCCCTCTCCCTCTCCCTCTTCCGCTCCCTCTCTCTCTCCCTCTCTCAGCCTCTGCCTCTTTGTACCTCTGCCTTTCAAATTAATAAATAAATCTTAAAAAACCAAACCAAACCCAGAGTCTTTGTCAAGTCACACTCCTGTTTGCGTTGGAGGTTCTCTCGTGAGAGCGACCTGGAGACTGGCGTGCAGGTTCCCGTGGGGGTCTGGGGCACCTGGGAAATGGGCGCCCCCTGCAGGAAAGCTCCCTGGGCAGCTTGTGAGCCCACTGGGCTGCTGATGACCGGTCAGCCCTGGCCTCAGCCTCTGATACTCGCAGGCTGGCTGAGACAATGAGATGCAAAAGTCAGTTTTGAAGGGGTCCAGGAGAGGCCACTGCACAGAAGGATTATTTTGAGATTGTTTTTTTCCTCCCTGGCTAAGAGAAGAACTTCCCCCAAAGACTTCATAGATCCCCTCGGTAGGGGCAGCCTGGAAGGATGAACTGCTTGACAATTTTTTAAAAAATTTATTCATTTGAAAGGCAGAGTGACAGAGGAGGGGGGCGGGACACACACACAGAGACCTCCTATGTGCTAAATGCCTGCAACAGCCAGGGCTGGGCCAGGCAGAAGCCAAGAGCCAGGAACCCCATCCGATCTCCCACATGGGTGGCAGGGACCCAAGCACCTGTGCCATCACCTGCTGCTCCCAAGGCACATGAGCAGGAAGCTGGATCGGAAGCAGAGGCAGGACTCCCATAGAGCTTAACCCACTGCAGCACACTGTGTCCCGCCACTGGCTGGCTCCTCACCACACCCAGGCGGCCACTGCCCCGGAGCTGTCACTCCTCCCATCCATTTCCCCAAGGGCCCAATCATCTTTCCTAAACGTCATTTATTTTCCTGCAAATGTTCCCTGTCTCAGTCTCCTTTCTGTTGCTATAACAACATACCTGAGACCAGGCTGTTTACGAAGAATAAAAGTTGTGCTGGTGCTGTGGTGCATTGGGTCAAGCCTCCTGCTTGCGACACCAGCATCACTTATTGGAGCTCCGGTTCCTGGATTTGGCCTGGCCCAGACCTGGCTGTTGTAGCCATTCTGGGGGAGTGAACCATCGCACTGGATGGATGGTCTGTCTCTCCTTCTCTCTCTCTCTGTTGTTCTCCCTCTCAAATGAATGGATATGTAAAGAAATACAAAGTTTATTTGGCTGCCAGCTCTGGAGTTCCTCCCGCATGCATGTGTGTGGCACATCAGTCAATAAACTCTGTTTTCCTCTTGTTAGTCTGCCTTTTGGCAGTTTAATTTCCAGAGTCCTGCTAGCAGAATCTAGGAGAGTAGAGGACAAGTTTTTTCCCCTCTCCTGCTCATATTCAAAAATATAAAATAGGGACCTGTGCTGTGGCATAGCGGGTAAAGCCGCCACCTGCAGTGCCGCCATCCCATATGGGTGGTGGTTCGAGTCCCGGTTGCCCTCTTCTGATCCCGCTCTCTGCCATGGCCTGGGAAAGCAGCAGCAGATGGCCCAAGTCCTTGGGCCCCTGCACCTACATGGGAGGCGGGAAGAAGCTCCTGGCTCCTGACTTCGGATCAGGTCGTTGTAGCCATTTGGGGAGTGAACCAGCGGATAGAAGACTTCTCTCTCTCTGCCTCTGCCTCTCTGTAACTTTGTCTTTCGAATAAATAAGTAATAAATAAGTAAATATTTAAAAATGCATAACACATCTTATAGAGATAGATATATATGTAAACTATAATAGAATAATGATGGATATTCTGTCCTGCAATTTGGGCCTCACCCACCACTGTGCCACGTGCATCCCCCTGTGCTTGGGCCACACGTGGTCTGAGCCCCAGGCGCGGTTTCGTTAGTGTTCTGCCGATGGGCTTCTGGGTCATCGTGGCTTCCACTCTGCACGTGGAGCAGAAATCCCGAGTGTTAGCACCGACTTCTAGGCTTCCAGGAGCTGGCTCAAGTGGTTGGACTGCATATGGTTTCTTAGACATTGCTCAAGTGGTCCCAACTGCTGACACTGTCGCTGTCAGCTAAAGAGAGCTTGTGTCTGCACAGCCTTCCCAGCATGCAAGATCAGCAGTTTGACTTTTGCCAGTGTGAGGTGAGGAGTGCTATCTTGGGGTGCGCACTGTGTCGCGGCACACTCAGCCATGGCTTGTGGCACCCACATCCTGTGTCAGAGTACCAGGGTCCGAGTCCTGGCTACCCGGCTCCTCCGCACCTCTGATCCGGCTTCCTGGTGATGCACACCCTGGGAGGCAGCAGGGATGGCTCAAACGCTTGAGTCCCTGCCACCCACGTGGGAGCCCTGGTCGGAGTTCCTGGCTTCAGCTTGCCTGACCCTGGCTGTTGTAGGCATTTAGTGAATTAGCTAGGAGATGGAAACACGCTCTCTCTCTCTTTCAAATAAATGAATTATTTTTGTATTATATATATATATATATAGAGAGAGAGAGAGAGAGAGGGAGAGAGAGAGAGATCTTCCATCCGCTCATCCGCTGGTTCACTCTCCAAATGGCCACAGTGGCCAGAACTGGGCCAGTCCGAAGCCAGGAGCCAGAAGCTTCTTCTGGGTTGGCCACATGGGTGCAGGGGCCTAAGCACTTGGGCCACCTTCTGGTGCTTTCCCAGGCCACAGCAGAGAGCTGGATCAGAAGTGGAGCAGCCGGGACTGGAACCAGCGCCCATTTGGAATGTGTGTGTCATAGACAGCAGCTTAACCCACTGTGCCACAATGCCAGCCTCAAAGAAATAACTGAAAAACAAAACAAACGAGAAGCGCATTCCTGTTCTAAACTAGACTGGGACTCTGTCTTGCCTGCCTTGGAGTTTAGAGATGATTTCATCTATAAGTAAAACAAAAAAGCAAGGGCCTATAGATTGCCAGGTCACCACTGGTTGCTGCCATTAAGCCGAATACATGTTCGAAACCAGCTAGAATGATGTTAAGTGAATTTTACACTTAAAATAATACCGTATGGGGCTGGCATTGTGGCACAACAGGTTAAGCCGACTCTGGCATCCCATGTGAGTGCCAGTCCAAGTCCAAGCTGCTCCACTTCCTACTCAGGTCCGTGCTGATGAGCCTGGGAAAGCAGTGGAAGATGGCCCAAGTGCTTGGGCCCCTGCACCCACGTGGGAGACCCAGAGGAAGCTCCTGGCTCCTGGCTTCAGCCTGGCCCAGCCCTGGCCATTGTAGCCATCTGGGGAGTGGAACAGCGGATGAACACGCTCTCTCCCTCTCTGTAACTCTGAGTTTCAAAATAAATAAATAAATCTTAAAAAAAAAAAAAAAGTCAAGGCTTCAAACTTGCATCTCTGGAGTCAGTTCCATGCTAACAAACGTGGCTGCGGCCGTCAGTTCTCAGTCTGCAAGGGAAGTGGACACACACGTCCCCGTGTGCCCTGAGACAAGTGGAATTAGTGGTGAACAGGGGCTATGATAGGACCCAGCCGAGCTTTAATGAATGTTTACTGATTTGTATTAAATGAAAATAAAAGTTCCCCTTTTCCAAATGTAGTCTGAGGGCCGGGAATCAAGGCCAGAGCAGCAGGAACGAGGCAGACACGTTAATAGGCACAGCCACGGGAAACATAATTTTTTCACTTTCAGTACATTCACAAAACTGTGCATTGATCACTAGTATATAATTCTTGCTTGTCTGCTTTTTTATTTTTAAAAAAAGGGGAGGGGCCGCCGCTGTGTGTAGCAGCTAAAGCTGCCACCTGCAGTGCTGGCATCCCATATGGCTGCTGGTTCAAATCCTGGCTGTTCCTCTTCCGATCCAGCTCTCTGCTATGGCCTGGGAGAGCAGTAGAAGATGGCCCAAGTGCCTGGGTCCCTGCACCCACGTTGGAGACCTGGAAGAAGCTCCTGGCTCCTGGCTTTGGATCAGTGCAGCCCTAGCCGTTGCGGCCAATTGGGGAGTGAACCAGCAGATGGAAGACCTCTCTCTCTGTCTCTGCCTCTCCTTCTCTCTCTGTGTAACTCTGACTTCCAAATAAATAAATAAATATTAAAAAAGGAGAAACAGAAGTGCACTATTCATTTGATAAACGCGATTTGAACCGTATGCGGTTTTGCTGCAGCAAAGAGGCCCAGGATTTGAGAGTGAGGATGGCAACTCATCAGTGAGGCAGTCAGATTCCACAACTCCAGTCCCGGCAGCACTTTCCTAGAAATGTCTGTAGAAATTCGAAACCGTGGAATTGCCATGTCAAAGGATTTGTTCTTTACTTGGCCTGCGTGGTCTGCCACTTCTAGCATCAGCGCGACATACGACACTTAAGACGTCTGCAGCTGTCCCAGCTCACAGCTGCGCTGGGTTCCCACTGACATTCTCTAAGCTGGTCTGTGACTTTGGAGCTAGCTCGTGAGACCCCTCCAAGGCAGGCTTCCAGGGCTCGCGGCCCGGACATGGGCAGCCCAGGAAACATTTTTTTTTTTTAATTTTTTTTTAATTTTTTGACAGGCAGAGTGGATAGTGAGAGAGAGAGACAGAGAGAAAGGTCTTCCTTTGCCATTGGTTCACCCTCCAATGGTCGCTGCGGCCGATGCGCTGTGGCTGGCACACCACGCTGATCCGATGGCAGGAGCCAGGAGCCAGGTGCTTTTCCTGGTCTCCCATGGGGTGCAGGGCCCAAGCACCTGGGCCATCCTCCACTGCACTCCCGGGCCACAGCAGAGGGCTGGCCTGGAAGAGGGGCAACCGGGACAGAATCCGGCGCCCCAACCGGGACTAGAACCTGTGTGCCGGCGCCGCTAGGTGGAGGATTAGCCTAGTGAGCCGCGGCGCCGGCCCAGGAAACATTATTTTTAAAAGAATCTTTGTTCTGGGGCCTGGCGTTGTGGCGCAGCAGGTTAAAGCCCTGGCCTGAAGCGCCAGCATCCCATATGGGCGCCGGTTCTAGTCCTGGCTGCTTCTCTTACGATTCAGCTCTCTGCTATGGCCTGGGAAAGCAGTAGAAGATGGCCCAAGTCCTTGGGCCCCTGCACCCATGTGGGAGACCTGGAAGAAGCTCCTGGCTCCTGGCTTTGGATCGGCGCAGCTCCGGCCATTGTGGCCATCTGGGGAGTGACTCATCGGATGGAAGACCTTTCTCTCTGTCTCTACCTCTCTGTAACACTGTCTTTCAAATAAATAAAATAAATCTTTAAAAAAAACTATTAAAAAATCTCTGTTCTACAAAAACTGTCATAGATTTAGAAAATATATTTTTTCATAATTTCCTGTCTCCTTTTTCTAAAAAACAGCTTTATTGCGATATCATTCACATAATATTCTAACTGCCCATGTAAAGTGTTCTGTTCACTTTTGCGGTCTATGCACAGGGCTGTGCAGCCATCAGCGCAGTCTAATTTTAGAGCCTTTTGTCCTCTCTAGAGAGCTCCTGCCCATTAGCAGTCCCTGCCCGTCCTCCCCAGCTTCCCAGCCGAGGCACGCGCTGGGGAGGAAGCTTGCTTGGTGCAGACCTTGCAACTAAGCCGGGTGCACGTGGGTGCCACTGTGGTCTGGCTTCCTGAACTCGCCGCAGCCTGCTCAAGGCCTCATTCCTTTCTACCCCCAGTGCCACCTCCTGCACCCACCTGTCATGCTGGCTTTATCCGCTCCTCACCTGATGGACATCGGCTGGGCTCTCTCCACGTTTCAGCTGCTGCACAGAGCATTCCTGTACTGTGCAGGTGTGGGCCTGTTTCGTTTGCCTGAGGATGGATCTGGAGGTGGAGTGCTGGGCTCCAGTCGTCTGTTTGATAGGATTACAGGTATTTTGTTCTACAAACGGCCTCGTTCTGAACAAAGGGCTAAATAGCTTGCTTTTTTATTTTTGCTTAAAAATGTGCCCTGAATACCTTTTCGTGTTATTAAGTTTTTCTGTCTTCTATATGATTTACTGTAACTTCAAAAACACTAGAGTTTTGGGCAAAACACAGCTTAAGTCTGGGAAATGATGTTTAGGAGGTGGAATTGTGGGCAGTTCCCCCAAGGGCTCCTTGATTCCCCCCCACTTCCCATAATTTCTGGAAGGTTCTTGCATTATTTTATTTTATTTATTTTTTAAAAATTTTTAAATATTTATTTTATTTATTTGAAAAAGTTACAGAGAGAGGTAGAGACAGAGAGAGAGGTCTTCAATCTGCTGGTTCACTCCCCAGTTAGCTACGATGGCTGGAGCTTTGCCGATCCGAAGCCAGGAGCCAGGAGCTTTTTCAGGGTTTCGCACGCGGGCGCAGGGGCCCAAGGACTTGGGCCATCTTCCACTGCTTTCCCAGGCCATGGCAGAGAACTAGATTGGAAGAGGAACAGCTGGGAGTAGAACCAGTGCCCATATGGGATGCCGGTGCTTCAGGCCAGAGCTTTAACCGCTGCACTACAGTGCCAGTCCCTCTTGCATTATTTTTATTTTTATATTTTTTTTTGACAGGCAGAGTGGACAGTGAGAGAGAGAGAGAGAGAGACAGAGAGAAAGGTCTTCCTTTGCTGCTGGTTCACCCTCCAATGGCCGCCGCGGCCAGCGTGCTGCTGCCGGCGCACCACGCAGATACGAAGCCAGGAGTCAGGTGCTTCTCCTGGTCTCCCATGGGGTGCAGGGCCCAAGCACTTGGGCCATCCTCCACTGCACTCCCGGGCCACAGCAGAGGGCTGGCCTGGAAGAGGGGCAACCGGGACAGAATCCGGCACCCGGACCGGGACTAGAACCAGGTGTGCCGGCGCCGTGGGCGGAGGATTAGCCTAGTGAGAGTCAAACAGTACAAAACTGGCCATTTGCATGTGTGGAGGCCCTGCCAAGAGTCCTTGTTGTTGGGAGTTTGGGCCGCTGATTTCCACCGGGATTCCGTCAGCCTGCGGGAGTGCGGCAGGGCCTTCTCCCGGCCGGCCAGGGAGCGGTTCAGCTCTGCCTAGTGAGGGCCGGGGACCTCCTGTGGGGTTTTCACGCTGAAGTCCGCTGCCTCTGTGGCCCCTGCGCGAGGCAGAGAACCAAGGACCCACACCAGGTTTTGCCCAGATTTTCTTAAAGTTTGATTGATTGATTTTGAAGATTCATTTCATGTGTTTGAAAGGCAGAGTGACAGAGGGAGGGAGCGAGGGAGAGGGAGGACGAGATTACCCGTCTGCTGGCTCACTTCCAAAATGGCTGCAATGGCTGGGGCTGGACCAAGCGGCAGCCAGGAGCCCGGAGCCCCATCTCAGTCTCCCACACAGTGGCAGGGGCCCAGGGCTTGGGCCGTCATCTATTGCCTTCCCAGGAGCAGGGAGGTGGATCAGAAGTGGAGCTTCACTTGCCGCACTGGGACACCTGCCCCTTCAATTAGATTTTTATATATTTATTTTAATTTTATTCGAAAGACAGAAAGACAGAGACAGGTGCAGAAAGATTTTCCATCCCACAATCCACTCCCCAAATGCCCACAGAAGCCAGGGCTGGGCCAAGCCAAAACCAGCAACCTGGACCTCCAGCCAGGTCTCCCATGTGGGTGGCAGGGACCCACGTATTTGAGGAACTGGGACTTGAAGCGGTACTCAGGTATGGCACGTGGGCGCTCCCAGCAGAGACTGAACTGCTGCGCCGAAAGCCCGCCCTTCAGTTCAACTTTTAAACACACTTTGGGGATAAAAAGATCTAAAATGAAACTCAGATTAAAAACTATTAAACAAAAAGTAATACATTAGGGCTGTAGGGGCGGGAAGATTTCTTTTCCTTGCCTGTTGTTTGGGACTGAATCCCACATGGAAAAAGGACAGGGGCTGGCGCCGTGGCGCGGCGGGTTAACCTGCCGCGTGGGCTGCCCACAGTCCATATCCGAGGCGCATTCATGTTCTGGTGGCTTCGCTTCTCATCCAGCTTCCTGCTATTGCATCCTGGGAGAAAGCAGAAAATGGCTCAAAGTCTTGGACACCAGACACTCACTGGGAGACCTGGATGGAGTTCCAGGCTCTTGGTTCTGGTCTGGCCCAGCCCTGGCTGTTGCTGACAATTGGAGAGTGAACCAGTGGATGGAAGATTCTCTCTCTCTCTCTCTCCCCCTCTGCCTCTTACATCATTTTTCCTTTCTAGTAGATGAGACTAAGTGATAATTTCTTAAAAAGATTAGCAGTGCTTGTATCCTTACATAATGGATTGCATACGTTGCATGCTATGACAATCTAGAGAAATGCAATTTTCTACATTTTCTTGTCCGATCTGTCCACTCCTGCCTTCCACCCCTGTCACCAATATTCTTTTCCTGAGAGTCATCTGGTTATGGGAGATGGGGCACATCCATGGGAGGTGGGGCACAATCTAGAAAGGCAGAGAGAAGACAGTTGCTCTTCACGGTAAGGGGAGACACCGCTTGCCAAGTTTCGGCAGGGCCCCTAGGAGGTTTGGAAGTAGAGTAGGAGTTCATTTATTTACTTATTTAGGAGGTAGAGCGAGAGCGAGCGAGCGAGCGAGCGAGAGGTCTTCTATCTACTGGTTCACTCTCCAAATGGCTGCAGCAGCCAGAGCTGGGCCAATCCGAAGCCAGGAGCCAGGAGCTTCCTCCAGGTCTCCCACATGGGTGCAGGGACCCAAGCGCTTGGGCCACCTTCCACTGCTTTCCCAGGCCATAGCAGAGAGCTGAATAAGAACAGGAGTAGCCAGGACTTGAACCGGCGTCCATGTGGGGTGTTTATTGAGAAGCAGAATTCTGGTTCTTCTCCAAGTGTGCACCTGCCCCTGGGAGATTCTGAAGTGGAAGCAGACCCAGCCTCTGAGGCGTCGAAGCCACTGTCCCCTGATGACGGGGGCCCGGGGGGCACCTGCCCCTTCCTGCTGCCTGAGTTGGATCTCCCTAGGCCTGGGACACCGTGAGGATTTCCAGGTCAACCATGGCTCTCCCAAGCTTCCTGGGTCCCATGGCTTGAGGCTTGTTGGGAAGTCTTGCAGGCTGCCCAGGTAGCGTTAGCCAGGCATTGTGATGAGCAAGCACCGGCTGCTGTCCAGGTGATGTTTTTCTCCTGTCATCAGCAATTTACAAGGCGCTCATGCTCAGGGAGAGCAGGTGCGCGAGCTGTGAAAACCGCGCTTCAGGGCTCAATTTCTCCTTGACTGGCTTTGAAGAGGGCAGTGGCAGGGGATGTGGACAGCCTGGCACTTTCTCAGGGGATCCGCCCTCGGGCAGGTGTCCCCCAGCACCTTCCAGGTGAGAAGTGGGATGGGCAGGTACAGACCAGACACACCTGCTGTGGGGGAAGTGCCCCAGCTCCCTCTGAATCTCCATCAGCGTCCCCCAGGGGATCGCTCAGCTCCATCTAGGTGGGGACACAGGGCAAATGCGGCTTCAAGGCAAGGCTTCCTGGCCTTGCCTCCCACCCAGACGCCTCTCTGAGCCCTGCTACCCTGGGTGGAGACCTGGGGCTCGTGTCCTATGGATTGAAGTTCTGTTTTCTGGCTAA